GCTGAAATTGTTTTTGACATTTTACTCACTTTACTTGATTCGGGTTGAATATTGCAAGTTGGAATTGGACTGCAGATATTATTATGAAGATATATTACATCCATAACAGTTAAGATCCTGTAGAAAAGAAAAAACATAGAATTGAAAATCACTATATAATCACATGTATACTCTTTTCCATTATTTGCATAAAATGTATAGTCTATGAACTTCAAAATCTAGTGAAGCACAACAAACTGCAAGATACTTACTATAGGTTCAAGCAGTGGGTGAGGATTGAGGAAAGCCTCTAGTGTCAGTGTTGGTAGCCTTTAATGAAGTTAGTTTACTTACAAATAGTAACATTAACATAATTTTATAAATGTAGGTTTTGAAATTTAACATTGACATTTGTAAAATGAAAATATATACTTTAGTGTTTTTGGCTTTACATTAGATCTTGAAAATGAGTGTTAGTGCAATATGGATATCCAACAATAAAAATAACATGAAAAATCAAGCTCTAAGGAAAAAATCTTCATCACTCGAAACCATAATATTACTTCTATTAACATAAGTGTTAGTAATGTGAATGCTTCACCTTCACACTTTCTTCATCCAATAATTTACTTTCAATGGTAATATATAAACCCACAAGCCATAACACGTGAATGTTGTAACCCTTTCTAACACGTAATGGACAAATTCTCAAGGACTAAGGTACCAACTCAAGTTGGTGTGGTGATATAGGTAGGATTGACCACTATAACCCCTCGTGGTGTGGAAAGTTCTAACAAAAGGAGGATGATGACAATATGTGACAACTTTTTTCATAGAGTTGATGTTTGCTTGTGGGGTGACTACGCCGATGAAGAAGGTAGCCGACTACATGAAAATACATCAATTGTGTGTATCAAAGGTGGCCATATCTGTGAGTTCAATGAAAGATTAGTATATGTTACAAATGTTTCAATCTTAGCTATTGATGGCAACTTGGATTTAGTGTAGGAGATGCGTTCTTGGTATTAGAATGCATATGCAAATGCAAATATTACACGAATATCTAATTCCTCATGGAGCATGTATATTGAGGGAACTTTAACTATTTCGGAACTTGTTTCCCTTCAGCTTAAAGTCTCAAAGCATTCAGCCGTATATATAGTTTATGGAAATATCAAAGAGATTAAAATTGAAGATTTTTGCTATGCTTCCTGCAAACAAATATCAAATAGAAGAACATGTGGAAAAAAATGATAAAAGTATCCAAGAATACATGGTATTGCAGATCATGTTCATCCGAGGGTGAGGAGGTTAAATATAAATATGTTCTAAATTTATGTGTTGAAGATAGCATAGCTTATGTTTAGGCTATTGCATTTCTGTAAACTCCTGAATTTAGACTTCCTGGGAGGTCACCTAGCCCAGTACTATTTAAACCCAAGGATGCTTAACCCCAAGTATCCTAAAACCCTTAAACGATTGGAAAAGGGGGTGCACTCTTGTTCATGGGCTTTTTTCCTCTATATTTGAATCCGATGGATCATCTTTCGAGTCTTTCTCTTTGGTTGCTTACAATCTACCACGCTTCCCTGCAAGTTCACGCCCTTGTGAACAGAAGCTGAAAGACATAGCTCTCCCAAGAACCCTGCTCTCTTGTCAGGTCGAGCCCAGCGGGAGCAAATTGGACCAATTAGATGTCAATCAACATGTAGTGTGATTCCCTTAGCCAACCAACAAAGTTGGACTTGAGACCGATCTGAAACCAAATATAAACTCCTAAATTTGGACTTCCCAGGAAGTCACCCAGCTCAATACTATTTAAACTCAAGGACGCTTAACCCCAAGTATCCCAAGACCCTTAACCAATTGGAAAAATGGGTGCACTCTTGTTCATGGGTCTATATTTGAACCCCATGGATCGTCTCTCAAGTCGTTTTCTTTGGTTGCTTACAATTTCATGATACTATTAAAGAAATAGTTGGTTTACCACCAATTGAATTTAAACAACTCCGAGATTTGGATTATGACAAATTTTGCTCATACATTGATGGTATTCAAGAGAAAAAGTTTGCAATAAAGATGCATTCTAGTCTCGAAAAATACCTCAATGAAGAGAGAACTAAATACATCATAGTTGGTGTGGATATATGAGATGGTCTATCTTAATTTAATTTAAATGCTCTAAAAACATAAGCCTCAAGTTGCAATCCTCATGAAAATATCTTGTCTTGAGAAATGTGCTTTCAAGTTCAATGTTTTTATTTGAATAATATATTAGTTATTTTAGAATTACTGTTTTTTTACCACATTTTATTTTCTTTAGAAAGCTTGTTTTGCATCCTGAAATTACATTTCTTTAATAGCATAATTGCACATGCTTAATGAGAGAATAAACTTTTTTATCCCTATGTTTGCCACTTTGCAGCTTCAAATCTTTGATTGTGATCTGTTTCATATATACAAGCTTGTATATGGTAATCGAATCCCATACTACTCATGGTGCCTATCACAATTTATGCAGATCTTGCAACAGCTAAACTGGTAAATAAGGTTTTGAGAAGCCTGTAACACTATTGACTGGAGAGAGTGATGTTTAGCTACTCACTCCTTGGGAGGAATAATGAATCTTAGTTCTACAATTTGCATAAATTATCCAATTTAGACTATCAAGAATCAAGAACAGCCCTAAAGTATTTTCTCTTGCAGAAGAGTCATTTATGGATAAAGGAAATAGTTATATATGTTCCATTCGAGTGATAAAATAAGTGCTTCTCTATTGTTTTCTTATGATTTTTTCTATTTTTATCTCTCTAAATTTAGCAGTGTGAGTTAAAGATACAGATGCTCCAGACAGAAATAGCATCAGCTGGAAATCAATGCTCGCTTGTGGTATCTAAATGCCTGTTTGACAGGCTCTCCAGGCATTTGCCTAGAAAGGGCACCTTGCACAAAGCCAACGTTTGACGGCTTAGTTGGCAGGATATGCCCGTTTCGGGCATCTGGATAATGACGTGAGCTTTAGGATTGGAGACAGTGGGTTCTCATAGCTGCCTGGCGGATGGAGAATGCAAAGAAGATCGTCGAGATCGATGGCTAGTGTTGGAATGCGATTGCGTCCAGAATGGACTTCCAAGAGATGGCTTGCTGTAGTTTGCTAAGGAGCTTCCGTTGGGCAGTGCCACCGGAGAAATCGTACGTGATCTATTCTAACAAATGACTATGCGCTTGGTTTCGGTGGAATTCGTCCACTCCCCGATAAATTCTTCGCTCTTGTCGCTGTGGCACTCCTCTCGGGCCTTTTGCTCTTGCCGTGTTTCCACTCCCAGATTGCGGTCCTCAGATCGTCCATCATGGAGATGCTGACAAGGAAAGGCGCGAGCTTGACAAGCTCCTGTGGCACTCGAGAAGGAGGAGATGGGCAGGCATTGTTCTTGTACGTCTCGGGCTTGTCATCAATCACCACAACCTTCTTCATGTCCCTTCCCTGTCCCTGTCCCAGGAGCGCCGCCGGTTTGATCACAAAATCTATGCAAGAGTTACCATAGAGGTGGTCATGGCCGCGGTCGTCGATCATCTTCTCGGCACACTCCTGCGTCCCCGCGGTGAAGATGACCACTTCGTACGCCCCCTTGACCGCCTCGAGGAATTGGTCGAGGCCGGGCCGCTTCACGCCGGGGCCTGGATAAACTCTTCCTTTTGCCCTAAACCGGCCCTTGGGTTTGGTGCCATGGCATCAAGCTGCGATTTTGAGGAAGCTCTAGCTGCGGCTGCCAGTGGCATCAACGTAAGAGAGATTGAGATCTCGAGAGCTAGTCGTGTAGGCTCACAGTTCGTGCCGCTTTGCAGGCATGCATGTGACCCTTGTGGTCACGAGCGCGGCCAAAATCCCATTGTTGTTGCAACTCCTGCGCTCCCGAGCAATCTCTAATTGTTGGGGGCTGGTAGGGCGCATGAGCGAGGACGAATGGACGCTGCGAGCCTTGAGCTTTGTGGTGGCCACCCCGGAGGAAGTCCGTGGCACCGCTTTGTTTTCCTCCCGCCTTGAGGCGCTTGTGCTGGACAAAGCAGCTGTGGCGCAAAACACTTTTTTCCACGAGGTTTGTCCTTGGCTTTGGTTCACTCACACTAAGTGTGTCGCTCGTGCGCAGCTCTTGTATGAATCACAACGTCGTAAGCTTCCCGTGTTTCCTGCGCAACCACGAGTACCAGTCTTTCGGAGGTTTGGAATTTTGTTTTCTTCTGCTCTCGCTCAACTCTACACTGTCCATCAGGCCGTGGCAGCGCGGCGTGAGCGCAATGAAGGGCTGGGTGGATCCCAGGGACCGCTCCAGTGTCAAGGGGGAGCTGCGTTCCTCCTTGGAGGAAACTCTACCAGGTGATATATACACTACCAGGATTGATTAGCCTTGCTCAAGTTAGTGTCCTTTGTGTTTTGCCAGAAGTGCTGTCTTGCTCTGGCCTTGGAGACTCGTGGTTTGACTCAGCTGTGGAAAGCTTTGCCGATGGTGACAGCATAGTGCAGCAGGACTGGTCCGCGATTCTGAGCTACATGCCTGGCGTCTTCCGTCGCCTTGCTCGCGGAGATGAATGGCTCACGCTTGTCCTGGCACCCGACTGCAGGGCTGCTCCCATCGCCCAGTTTATGCAAGTGTTTGCTCGTCACTTCGGACTGCCAGAAGAGCTGGTTGGCCTCCAAGCGGCCAGCCGAGTTGCCATTGGTTCCCCCGAGAGATTTCACGCAAGCAACAGGTTGAGCGACGTCTGCCAGCTCATACTGGTCGAGGCGGACAAGCTCTTTGCGTCACACAGGCCCGAGGTGAGCTCGCTTCGCTCTCTCTCTCGTGGTCACTTACGTAGCTGTCTTGCCTTGTGTGTCACAGATGGAGTGGATCGTGGAGCGGCTGGAAGAGGATGTCCAGATCGGTTTGCACTCGGAGACGCTGTCTCCTGAGGTGGAAGACCTGGCGTCGAGGTTTGCCGAGGGCCATCGGTGGGAAAGGCTAGCCAAGGCCGGCGCCAGCATGGATGGCGTCCGCCAGTTCTACGCTCGCGTGGACGATGAGAGCTGCAAACTAGACGAGCTATGCCGGCTGTGCAAAGAGCTGAGGCGGCGCTTCAAAGTCCAGGCGGCGGTGGTGTGCAACAGCAGTGCCAGGGTGGTGGAGGTGGCGGAGGAGATGAGGAAGCGGGGCTTGTCCGCGTTTGGGATTCACAGCGGCATGGGCGAGAGGGAGGTGGAGCTTATCAAGCGGAGCGAGCAAAGGTCCGTGATCGTCACAGATCATGGCTGCTCCAAGGGAGCTCGAGACGTGATCAACTTTGAGATGCCACTGTCTCCCGGGGACTACTTTCAGCGTGCTTCCAAGCTCCGGGACCAGGTGACCAAAGTGGTGATTAGTCTTGTTGTGGGGGGGCAAGAGTGTGAGCTACTGGATCGCGTGAGGAGTCTGTATGGGGTCGACATAGATTTGCTGCCTTCTCAGCCCAAGAGACCTGTATTATGATGTAGTAATGTGACCATCTTCGTAATCTAGTTTTGAAGAAGGGTCCAGTGTTTTGTGTGCAATCTGAGGTTGGCACCGGCAAATCTTGCAACACTAGAACTCAGGAATTAGTCCATGAATTTGCAAACCTGGTGTCTACAATCAGTCTTTCATGTGGCTTGAGCTCCGCAAAGACTCAAGCTGTAGACAATTCTTTCAACATCGACCAGTTTAAGCTCTTCATTAACATCCCAAATTTTCCTTAAATTCACCCTTAATTTTAAGAGTAAGTGTCAAAAGGCCCAACACTTATGTTCAGCTTCACACAAACTTTGTTATCAATCCCACCATTAACTTAGAATTTTTACATTAGAAGATTTTAACCTAATTTAAAATTTTAATGTTATTCTTTTCAAGTCAATTATAGTATTAGTCATTTTTTGTAATAAAAACTTTGGATAATGATAACTTTGTTCACATTCCTATTAAATTAGCTAATTTAGCCATTAAATTATACCTAACAACGTTAGACTTGATTTAGCAGTGGCGGTGGCAACTGGCACCCCAAGAACAAAAACTCAGAGGAATGTCAAGCATGCGATGGAAGAGGATTCCACAAGCAAGGAATCAAAATTTCCCTTGTGTAAATAACAAAAAATGATGGATCACACAGCAAGAACTTCCTCAATCACTAGCACCGTAAGAACAAAGATCTCTATGGAAGAAGAAGGATTAAGAAATCACGAAAATTTCCAGGAATCGAGAGCTTTACCTTGTGTGAGAGGGGAAGTCTTCATGGACAGGCCACAATCCCTTGCAAACATAGCAATCTGCTGGGCAGGTCTGCTGCATTGTCCCCAACAGCAGTGCCATTGCAAGATTGGTCCATGAGCACATAGGGCGTGTTGGTGACTACCACGCTACACTCTTTGCACTTTTTGTCCAGCCCCATGCTAAACGACCGACACAATCTCCAGCTGCAGCAGCCTCACCACTGCCAATGCCTCGAACTTGTGATTGACAACAAGCTTGAATCTGGCTCCTGAGTGTTGCAGCAGCATCACAAGTGAAATATTTCATGGAATAATTTAATCCTAATGCTACAAAAGTGTAGCATTAGGATTTATGCAAAAAATGCAAAAGAAATTCTAGCTTACTTTAATGTTAATTTCTGGTGTGAACAAGTTACCATTAAATTCAACAATTAAAATAGAGTTTGCATTCACACCAATACTTAAAGTTATACTTAAATATTAACAAACCCAGTCTTCTCTGCAAGCTTGGCTGCAATGGTTGTCCAGCAAGCTGGAGGTGGTTAGACACTTCTCACGACTCTCAGCTCTGCCTGCAAGATACTCTTCCCTCTTGAGATCAATTAGAGCATGAGTCTCAGCTGAAGTTTAGCTGTGTCCTCTTTTTTGCCTTGACATTGGATCATCTTCAAGTAGCTCCACATCTGCTATTTCCTCAGCTGTTGCTTCCTCGTTGCTAATCCCTCAACATTCACCTCTAGTCTCTCCAACTTGATGAAAATGATATAAATGCATTCTAGGAATACCTGGCTTGCATGTGTGTGAATATGAATGCAGAAGAAGGTGAAGGTGGCAACATTGTCAAAGAAGCTGAGCACCGAGTTCCAAGAGATGAGTCCATGCGGCATGGCAGGTTAGTTATTCGCTGTTAGGTTGAATGGGAATATGCTATACTCAACACATTAGAGCCAGGAACATGGTGGTGGATGAGGAGTCTCTTCCACAATATGTTACAACATATTGTCCAAGCACTTGAAGATGAAGATGGAGAGAAGCTTACCAAGCTCACCAGAAAGGTTATGGAAATTTATCCTTCTTTACGAATTCAAACCAGGATGAAGAAGATCTGGAAGAACTTGGGCAGCTTGACTTCTCCTGCACGGTTTGCAAAAGACGAAGATGAAGAAGACAATACAATTATGCATTTTTATATTCGATTAATAATAAAAACACATTTTGACTCGTATCAGTTGTGTCAGTTGCGAGAACTTGTATCACAACCTGATGTAGTATGATCAAGTACCATCATACTACACCAGATTAAGTTGTAGCAACTGATACGGCATCACGAGGCACGCAGGCCCTTCACCGAGATCCTCCCAGCCACGCCAAATGGTATCTCCCAGCCTCCATCCAAAGTCCTGGAGCACTGCTCTTCCCAGCATCCTGGCATGGCTGCACGCCATGAGATCATCAAGTCAGTCCCTTCTTCTTTGTTTTCTTGGATGGAGCACTGATGAGAAAGAAGGTCGAGGCTCATGGACTCCCAGCACAGCGATTCACAGCGGCATGGGAGCAAGGACCTCAGAGTGGCCCAAGATGGAGGAACATGAGCATGGGAATGGAGGGTGTGAGAAGACCCCCACAACAAACTTGCAAACTTGTTTGCACAGTCCCATGCTTCCTGCTGGGCACTGCAAGACTGCCAAAACAAAATATAGATAGATAGATAGATTTATAAGTTATTCGTGTATGCTTGAGGGCTCCTAACAACTCCCACAGAACTAGAAGAAATTAATTTGTTAGTTCGTCAAGGCATCTTGCAAAATCTTGTAAAAACGTAAGAGACATGCCCAGCCTGGGATATGCTGTGATTATGGCATTCCAACACACGTTGTCTCTACTGAGAATAGTAAGCAACATAGCCATTGCGATCGTTCCTACGTCGGCAGTGCCATGACTGAAAGAAAAAAACAGAAAAACGAGGCGATGTAGCGATATAGCTTTTCAACGAATTCGTGAGTAGCGTTGTTGAGCTTCACTTCTTCTTCCCCGGTTCGTGACGCTAGACGCAGCGTCCGATTTGCCGAAAAGTCTGTATCATATTCTTCTGCTCTCTATCTGAATTCTTCGCCAGATTGCTTGCGAAGCCACTGCCTCTTTGCTGCATGCGCCGAGTGTTTCTTCTTGTTTCGATGGCTCGCATGGGTGTCATAGACAGGAAGTTGTGCCCACTCAGACGAATCGCTAGAAGTGGAAACGGTTGAATGTGAAACTTCTGGCATTTGCTCGCAGAGAACCACCGCTACTGCCGTTTCATCTGGCTCGCCTCGAGTTTCAACGCCAACAGTTGATCCTCTCGAGCATATCTCTTTTACATGAGCGACGTCTTGCGTGTGAATCTCGGCCCGGCAAACCGGACAAGACGCAGTGGAGTCTGCAGGAAGCCACTTCCACCAGTCCGAGAAACAATCACTGCGAGCGAAGTTTGTGAGAAAAAATGAAAAGAACAAACGAGAGAGAAAAAAAGAGAGGAAATACCTGTGGAAGCAATGGAAGCAGGACATGAGCTTCATGTAATGTTGATGAGCGTGATCCAATGCAGGATCCACCAAAGGAAACAAGCAAAAGCAGCAATCTCCTTCCGGATAGTTGTTTGATGTCAAAAAATCCACTGCAAACTGGAAGCTAGAATGAATGAACCATTTCTTTGTGATTCATGCATACCTCTGAGATTGTGACCAGCATCGGCTCGTTGGACAAACGATTTGCCTCCAGCTCCAGGCCAGTGAGGAGATTGATCTGCCGAGACACATCCAATCCCTTGACAAGCACAAGCTCGAATTTTGGGGGATGGCTTGGATACTACTGCACACACATTCTCCAGCCAGTTTGCCAAATGGAACTTCGCAAATTCACTACCTTGTCGCCTGCCTTGATCGAGAGAACAATCTCCACAAACTGCCCCAAGAAACTCTCGAATGAATGTGGATCGATTGCAAGAAGGCGAAACGTTTACCTGCAAAGGAAGCTCGTCCGCCGTGCGCGGCTTGAGAAGGACCTCCAAATGAGGAGGCCATCGCTGCAAAATCCTACAATCGTGGCGATACACGGCATCCATTGCCTCGAGCTCCAAGCTCACGTCCTCCATCTCCTCCCCGGGAAGAACAAATTCTAGGGTTTAACATTAGGGTAGCGTGAAATATTCTAAAAGAAATAAGAGTTCTTACAGCGCAGTGGAATATTCGCCTGTGGTGTGTGATCTTCCCGCGGTTTTCGAGACGAAGGGGAGAAGAAGTTGCCGGCCGACAAGCCGGCGGCGACGGCGCCGGAAAGCACGACCGGCACACGCAGCGTTACAATACGGCTAGGAGCGTAGGCTACGGGCTCTAGCGCCAATGGCCGGCGCGAGAATACGTATCAATACGCGCATCGATATAATGAGAAAGTACAACAGACGAACAGGGAAGAGGTGAGCGCTGTGTGCGGAGGGGGCGGCCCCCGCCACGCGGCGCCCTGCCACTGGCGGGAGACCAGCGATGCCAATGCTGCCACGCCACGTGGATGCCGTCATTGTCTCCCTCTCTCATTACACTGTGGGCGCTACCATTCGTTCGTGGCGAGGAGGAGAAGAGCTTGTCTCGTATCGCCAGTGTCGATCGCCGCGAGGTCTAGGGTTTTCGTGGAGCGGAGGCGCTGTGGAACGGCTAGGCCGCGGCCGCGAGGCGCCAGTGATTGCGCCAGCATTTGATCGGCTTCCGGGGGATTTTAGGGTGCCCGCGAGGTTTTGATCGGGTTTTAGGGCTTGCGGGAGGAGGAAGAAGGAGGAGCTGGGAAGCCGTCCGAGAATGCGAAGAATTTCGTTCCACGGGGTATGTGGTTTTGTTTTTGCCTTTGTCTCATTTATTAGCTTTAGCGTGTCTAAAGAGAATGAGGCACCTATATAGATATGACGCTGGAGAATGGCGCTACTATAGAAAAATCGAATGACTCCTCTCCAAAGTACTCGAAGAAACGTCGCAATGGCCGCAAAAATGGTGGAGCGAAGATCTGGGCTGCGGCATCCGATGAGTTGCATGCTTCCAACGACGAGGCCGAGGCGTTCGAGCCGGATAGTCTTGTCTGGGCGAGGATCGAGGAAAGCCTCTGGTGGCCTGCATTTGTAAGGTTTTTTCCTTGTATTCGCTCGGTTGCCTCCATTCCCAGCACTGTATTGATATCTTCCGTGTTTTGGTTTCACAGGTCCCATCTCTTGAAAACTTGCCGCTCTCTGTCTTAAGGTGACTACACTTCTTCTTGTGGTTTTGCTTTTTGGTCTCACTCACACTTTACTCTTCGTCGTCAAGGCAAAAGCAGGAAGGCTGGGTTTGCGTTAAGTATTACAACAATGCTCTTTGCAACTCCTGCTTGTAAGACTCGCAAACCATTTTTTTTTTTTTTTTCTTGTTCTTCTCAGTGTTGAATTTTCTACTCTTGCGTAGTGCCTGGTTGGAACCCAAAGACATTGTGCTCTATAACGGTGACACGGACATCTTTTGCCAGCAGGTACTTGGCTCTTCCTTTGGTTCATTGCTCCCGGATTGATGTGTTGACATACAGATTATGCCAGAATCGCCCGAGACTGAAAAGTTTCAAGCGGCTTTAGCTGAGTTGCAAGAATCTTACAAGGCTCGTTTTAGCGACAGCGATGTAGCTACCGAGCTCCCTGCGGCCAACAATAATGTGGGAGCCGCGTTAGAGGATCGAATTAACTTAGACAAGGAACTTTTGAGGAAGCGGAAAAGTGGCCAAGATGGTGTAGAAGAAGACGGTAGCATAGCTGGGATGGAAAACGAAGAAGGTTCTCGGAAGCGGATCTTGAAGTTGAGGATTACGAGGTCTTCAGCACCACATGAAACGCCTACTGCGGATCGGAATTCTCCCTCGAAAAGAACCAGGGGATCTGATGGGGTTTGCATTTACAGTCAAGAATTCACTTTTTATGGTGGCTTACGCTGTTTTTGTTTTGCAGTCTTTTTTCGAATGTATGGTTTGCCAATCTGGCGGAAATCTTCTTTGCTGTGACCATTGTCCCCGCGTGTACCATCTCCATTGTCTGAGCCCGCCTCTAAAGGTAAGACAATTCTTAAACGCGGTGCGTTCTATAATTTGTGCCCTTCTTGTGAAGCGTGCCCCGACAGGTAAATGGCGATGCCCAGACTGTATAGGAGAATCGGAAAAACCACTGGCAGAGACGGTGGCTGCGAAGAACACTGAAACTGCAAAAGAAGTACGGAGCGAGTCTGAAAGCAAGAACCAAGCTCCAAATGGTGAAATTCTCAACATCTCTAACGAAAAATCGCATAAGCGGAGCAGAGATGATATGATCAAAAGATTTAAGAAGAAGTCGAGGCTTGACGATCCCGCAGCTGACAAATGCCCGCCTTGTGGACTGAATAAACAGTCGTCCGAGACTTTACTGGATAATGGAAGTTCATTTGGCCCAGATGGACTTCTTGACGAGGGAGAGGAATTGAATAGTACGCCAAATGTGAAGGTACTCTTTTACTTAAATCATTTTACGTGACAAAATCCCGTTTGATTCTTGTGTAATTTGCAGAGCCTGCCTGCCTGTGACAGTTGTGGTAACACTGGTGGCTCGCTACTCAAATGCGGACGTTGTGGCAAATCCTTCCATCTTTTATGTATGGACGCTCCTTTCAAGGTACTCAATCTAGTAACTTCTTCTTTCTCTTATCCTTTTTTTTCATCAGAGAATGCCAAGGAGCCGCTGGCTGTGCTCGGAATGTAGTCCGCTTGATTCTAGAAAGCGCAAGGAAGAACAACCTATTCTCCCTGCTGCTGCTTTTGAGGTTTAGTGTGACTACGTATTTATATTCTTGTCTTAACTTTGTTTGCAGGTTGATCGAATTGTGGGATGTCGGCCACAACCATTAGCCCCGAAGTCTGTGGAAAGATGCGAGACAGAAGAAAAGAACAAGGTGGACGTCGACACTACGGTTCATATTGTTGGGGCTTCAGAGGGCGATGTCCAGGACGAAGAGGTAGACGGAAAGATAGAACTAGAACCAGAGAAAACTACTGTAGACGAGGCTATAGACGGTGAACAACCGGAGGGGGATGGGATTGCAAAAGTTGAGCTGCAGCCTCCAGAGGAATTAGAGTACCTGGTGAAATGGGTGGGAAAATCTCACGTGCACAACGAGTGGGTTTGCGAATCGCGTTTGAAGACTCTTGCAAAACGGAAGCTGGAGAACTACAAAGGCAAGCACGGAACTGTTCCAAAGAATCTGGTAGACGACAGATGGACGCAACCTCAAAGGATCATTGCTCGCAGGAAGGGACAAGATCAAGCCGAGGAAGTGCTGGTGAAGTGGTATAGTCTACCTTACGATGAATGTACGTGGGAACGGCTTGATGCTGCTTTAGTTCCGGGACTTTTGGACTTGCTGGCAACGTTCCAACTGTTCGAAAGCGAAGCATTGTCGAGCTCAGAAAGCCGGAAGGTGAAAGACGGACAGGGTGAGCTGGAAGCTGTCAAAGAGCAACCGGTAGAATTGCAAGGTGGCCAGCTCTTTCCTCATCAAATGGAAGCCCTCAACTGGCTTCGGAAGTGCTGGCACAAGAAGAAGAACGTTATACTCGCGGATGAGATGGGACTGGGAAAGACCATATCCGCCTGCGCGTTTTTGTCGTCGTTGCACTACGAGTTTAAAGTACGCGGGCCTTGCTTAGTGCTGGTTCCATTGTCGACGATGCCAAATTGGATGGCAGAGTTTGCACTTTGGGCCCCGGGTTTGAACGTCATCGAATACCACGGTAGCGTCAAGGCAAGAGCAGTCATCCGTCAGTACGAGTGGTACGCTTCCAGTCACGGCAGCAAGAAACAGCGGGCATACAAGTTCAAGGTGATGCTTACGAATTACGAGACTGTTATCAACGATCCCACGCCGTTGAGGTCTTTGCCTTGGGAAGCTCTCGTGGTTGACGAAGGTCACAGGCTGAAGAACTCAGGCAGCAAGCTCTTCACTCTCCTGAATACGTTTTCTTTTGCTCATCGGGTCTTGATGACTGGAACGCCGATGCAGAACAATCTTGGCGAGATGTACAACCTGCTAAACTTCTTGCTACCGGAGAAGTTCCCATCCCTGGCGGCGTTTCAGGAAAAGTTTAGTGCCTTGAGCACGGCCGAGCAAGTTGAAGAGATACGGAAGCTGGTGACGCCTCATATGCTAAGGAGGCTCAAGAAGGATGCAATGCAAGGCATCCCTCCAAAGGCAGAGAGGGTCGTTTTAGTGGAGTTGAGCGCAGTACAGGCAGAGTACTACCGGGCCTTACTTACAAAAAACTACCAGCTGCTACGGCAAGGAACCAAGAGCCAGCAGTCGATGATCAACATTATCATGCAGCTCAGAAAAGTTTGCAACCATCCTTATCTTATCCCGGGTACTGAACCAGAATCCGGGACGGGCGAGTTTTTGCATGAGATGCGTATCAAAGCTTCTGCAAAGCTAACTCTTCTCCATTCCATGCTTGGGTCACTGAAGAAAGAAGGACACCGGGTTCTCATCTTCTCGCAGATGACGAAGCTGCTAGATATACTTGAAGACTATTTGACTTTCGAGTTCGGGCATGATTCTTACGAGAGAGTGGACGGGTCTGTTCCAGTGGCTGAACGACAGGCAGCCATTCGCAGATACAACAAGGATACGTCGCGCTTTGTCTTCTTGCTTTCAACTCGCTCGTGTGGACTGGGGATCAACTTGGCTACTGCAGATACTGTTATCATTTACGATTCCGACTTCAATCCTCACGCAGACATCCAGGCAATGAACCGAGCGCATCGAATCGGGCAGTCCAAAAAACTGCTCGTTTATCGGCTGCTAGTTCGTGGAAGCGTGGAGGAACGTATTCTACACCTTGCAAAAAAGAAGCTTGAGTTGGAACAGCTATTTGCAAGCAAGTCCGGATCACAAAAGGAAATCGAAGACATTCTTCAATGGGGTGCCGAGGATCTTTTCGGAGAGCCCCCGGAGAAAGAGAAAACAGGTGCAGAGTCTCCTCCGGGAGCTAGTACTCAGGCACAGGATGAGAAGCCGAAGAAAAAAGTTGGCGGCCTCGGAGATGTTTATGACGACAAGTGCCATGAAACCGGACGGTCCAAAGTGATTTGGGATGATCTTGCCATTAAAAGACTCTTGGACAGAGCCTCAGTGGTTCCGGACTCCGCGGAAGCCGATGGAGAAGGC